AAAAAATTGAAGAAAACAAAAGCAGAACAACGCAAAGCAGAGTAGAGCAAAAGCAGAGCAGAGCAAAACGGAAAAAAAATTGAAAATTGAAGTGAAAATCGGAATACTCTGTGTTGTTGGAGATGGCGATCGGAAGAAAAGGATGGCAATCGGGAGTGAAGGATAGATGCGGAAGAAGAGGTAACCCTACCTCCATATTTCGCCAAATTTGCGGTCACCGTAAATCCACTGTTCAGAGGTAGCCCTACCTCCTTCTACCTTCCCTTACCTCTCTTCACCTATCCCAATTTTTGTTACCAAACAAGGTAGAATATTAAATCTACCTCCCCCTACCTCCTCCTACCTCCAAACAAACACAGTGTAAACGTATCAAGGCATTACACTGTGGACTTTCCTCACCACTCACCAGTCAGGCAATCATCAAGACATTATAAGTGATTGCTTCTAAGATCTTGCCTGAATAAGAATTCAAATTACCCAAGAAAGTGTTATAAGACTTTGTTTTTTTTGTTGTTGCTAAAGAAAGATGTTTTGGAAAATCACTGAAACACTATGGGCTTCCCCAATCAAATGGTCTAGGTCTCTATGAATAGATCGTATTTGTCTAGATCAAGACAAGTTGCGTGCTAAATCAGGATATAGAGAGTCTAAGATCTTGACACATTAAATAAGGAGTTTGACCAATTCAACATGTTTAGAGAATTAAAAGAGTCAATAGAGAATTAGAGACCTTTTGACATTGTTTTAGCTTTGGGTAAAAGATCAAAGTGGCAAACTAAACATGATCTGTTTCTTAGTTTACGTGAAGTTTTGGGAAGTAAATGCCTCAATGGTCTAATGGAAACAACCTATCTGTTATACATGAGTGAGGTTGGGCACATCTTGGCACTTCTGACCCCAATGTAGTTTGGATCATACTGGGTTTGTTGTTGAATTGATTCTCACTTGGAATTTCTGCAAAATACTGAAGTTATGGAAATTACTTAAAATGCCTTTATAAGGCCTTTTTCATTGCATTTGCATAGCATGCACATGGTAGATTCAAGTGTAGCAATTATATTCATACAACGCACCTTGGATTCATATAGTAAGAAAGGACACACCTGGTTTTTGTTCATATCAAAGAAAGTTACATGGCCTCAATGAGTAACCATTTGGTTGGGCAGTAAGCATGGTAACCATATGGTCCCCTGAGGTACTGCCTATTGGTCTTATTGGGTGAGTGGGTCAGCTATGATATATGCTGGTTTATATTCTTGTGGTTCTTTGTAGGGCCAAGAGTTGTAGGTTTATCTAGTGCATACCTTAAGCCTTAAGACAGTGGCGGTGGGTTCTCACTTTGATTTGTCATAACTCATAAGATTCGTTGTCTTCATTCTTATGTTGAACTGTAAACAGATGGTAACATATACACATGCATTCCACATCCATGATTCGTGGACCTTTTGTTTTTGGAACCACTTGGTTCTATATTTCATGTCATAAGGGCATAACAGTGCCAGTGGGTTCCTTGTTTTGCTAGGGTATGGGGCAGGGCCACTAAATGGTACACAACTTTCTTCTTGCATATACTAAGAGCCTGTTTTTTAGGGCTTAAACTCTTAATTTCCAATTTCTTCCAGTTCCTTCCAGCTTCTTCCAGTTCTTTCCAGTTTCTTCCAACTTTTTCTACTCCCCAACCAATTACTCTAAAAACGATATATTTTTAATGTGACTATTATTATTATTACAACTGTTGTGTTCATTATTATTATTATTACAACTGTTGTGACTATTATTATTATGATTACAACTGTTGTGTTCATAACTATAGTTTATAATTTATTTTTTCATCTCACTATTTTTACGATTCACACTCATTATTTTTTCTTCAACTTTTTAATGTGAATAAGACAATTTTTTGTGTATTAGTCTACATGATAAAATAGATAAACATCAATATTTTAAATTATATTAAAAAATTATGGACAAAATAGTTACATAGAATGTTTTATTAATCTAACTTTATATAAGACCCCTCACCTTTCCCTTTATTACTCAAATTTTTCTCATTTTTCTAAATTTAATAAAAAAATTGAAAGTCAAAATAATTTAGAGAAAAAGACTAAAATAGGAGTAAAACATAAAAAATGTGAAAAAAGTTCTATGTCTTTACTCCAAAGATAGGAGTTACAATGAAAATAAAATGCCAATCATGAAAGAAAAAATAGGTTTGATTACATTATGTGACATGTCTGATATTTAAAACAAAATCTTGTAATATATAAAGTAAAATTACAAATATATTATTTATAATAAATACTGCGTAAATAAATTGAGATGCAACGTAACCACAATAACTTTTTAAAATTTAACATTTTAATATTTATGCTAACTTTATATTCTAATTATTTTCTTGCAAAACTAGTTTTTTGTGTGTGAAAAATAACAATACTTTTTTTTATCTTAAAGGCATTCATTATTATAATAGTAATTTATAAAAACAAGAATTAGAATTTGAATGATATAAAAATACACTAAAATAATTTTATTTTAAAGTTTTTTTAGGTTTTCCAATTTTTTGAAGTTTTTCGAGTTCCTTCCAGTTTTTCCAACATCCAGCTCTTTTTTTCCAGTCCTAAAGAACAGACTCTAAGCGACAGCCTTATGTTATTGGATTTCAACATGTTACTAACCTAAACAAAGGAGCAACTTTACTGTAGCATCAGGATCACCATCTTATATTACTTCTTAAATGGATGACTTTAAAAAGCAATTTTGCATATTCTGCATGAAACAGCCCATCTATATTGTATCATTTGTCGTTGAGCACAACCCATCTCTCTTGTCTACAGGTAATATTGCAAATTATTTGAAGCTTTTGGAAATTGACTCTATGTACCTTCCAATCCCCGTTAATTTCATTTTCATAGGCTTTGAAGGAAAAGGGAATCTAGGTATTAACTCATATTCCTCCCCAAATATTGTTTTTAATTTCTAGTCCTATATAATCTTGTTATTAAGTTCAGTTATTTACTTTATTTTGTCTATTCATTTTGCTGGTCTAGAGTTCAAGCTACAACCTGAAGAACTAGAGCGTTGGTTCACAAAAATTGATCATATATTTGAACATACAAGGATTCCACAGATAGGGGAAGTCCTTACACCATTTTACAAGATTAATATTGATAGAGAACAGCGACACCATCTTCCTTTGATCAGCCATTTAAGTTACAAGTACCAATAGTTCTCTCTTATATCATTTTCTTGAATTGTCAATAGACATCATTCTTTAGTTGGTCTTGAGACTTAATTCACTATCAGAGGCTCTGCTAACACGAAAGTGCATATGCAGCTTCTCTGTTCATGCCATACAGATGGGAGAAAAGGTTACATCCATTTTTGAGCGTGCTATCAATGTCTTTGGGCGTAAGAACAATGTTTTGAATACCAGGTGCATATTGTTTTCCACTAATGCACCGTTTTATGTTGCATTTCTGCACTGCCCCTGTCTAAAAAAAATTTGTTTTACCAAGGTACAACTTTTAAATTTTAACAAGATACAGCTATTGGATACTATGAGAGTATCAGTTCTAGTTTTTTTTTTGTATAAAATTTATTTATTCATATGACTAGATTTAACATACCTAACTCGTTTGGGACACTTTTTATTAAATTAAATACATTAGTTATCGTGAAAGTTAGCTTCTTTAGTTCAAACAAGACTTTTTTTGGGGCAAATAAATTTTCAAATATGACTCTTGTTTTTGGGACAGAGGGATTCTTATTATGTAACATTGGGTTTTCTTATGGTGTTTTTTTTCTTTTGAAGTGATGATGGAGATGACCTTTGGCAAGTAGATGTGGATATGATGGATGTAGTCTATAATAGCCTTGTGGAGTATCTACAACTGGAAGCTGCGTACAACATTTTCATTTTGAACCCCAAGCACACTACAAAAAGAGTTAAATATGGCTACAGGTATGTATTCAGAATAGCTGGTCTGATTATTGTTCTTTTACTATTTCCAGGCAAAAATAATTTCTTCTTTCTGTTGAACAACCACATTATTCTTTAGAATGTACTGAGCGTCCATAGAGGCAGCATGATCCTATTCATATATTAGTAACCAAATCGGATTCATTAACTCTCTTCTGACAGTGGTTAATGGAAAAGAATCACAACTTTGTCTCTTTAGCATGTTGAGTCAAAATTGTATGAACTTAGCATTGCTATATTATGTTTCCATAGCAAATGCATTACTGCACATTGGCATGCCTTAACTGTACATCAGTATCTCTTCACATAGCTAATGAGACGTAATATTTACTTTTGTACCTATTTTTAATCCTTCAGTACTTCGCGTGACTGCGTGAGGTATTAATAAGTCATCTCAGTAATTCATATCTGAGCTTATCTAAGCAGATCTTTCCTTTGATAATGCATGAGCAATCTTAGAACAATGCCACTTTAATGGCATGTTTGGTTCCTATCTTATTTCATAATATAATTTTGCAGAAGAGGATTATCTGAGACTGAAATAAACTTTCTGAAGGAGGTACGTATCAATGCTGTTACTACTTTCAACTTTATCGTATGCGCTGGATGATTATTCTGTCTTGTTTTTATGGTACTGCAACGTTCTCCGTTTATGTCCGGCACTTCAGGAAGCTTTCAGAATCTTTTTTTTGAAGTTTTCTGGTTTCTGATGAACTACATTGTACAGAACAAAGAGTTGCAATCGAAAATTCTTCAGTCAGAAAGTGTTTCAGAGAGTTTCCTTGGTAAGTCAAAGAAATTATTTGTTTACTCCCTCTGTCCCACTTCACACTTTTGTTATTTTCTTTTAAGGAAAGGAATGTGTGGCTCACATCATTTCTTTCTCTTAAACAAATTCTAACCATACTTTTTTCACTTTTGAACACTTTTTTTTAAAAAATTCCATCAAATCACAGCGAAATTTATTTTGGGGCAAAGGAAATATTTAGTTACTCCCTCTGTCCCAAAATAAATAATCCTCTCTTTACGGATAAAGAGGCTTGACTAAATATATTTTCAATCTAATTTATTTAAATAATACTGCAAATTTCAAAAAAAAATCATTTAGCAAAAAAACCGCATCAAATCCTCTTTAAAACAAGTGGTGACATGACTATGTTATTTTTAAAATAATTAGTGAATATAAGTAAAGAAGGAAGAAAAGAAATTGACCCGTGAATAGTGGAGTGAGACGATTATTTTGGGACGGAGGTAGTACTTGCTAACTTACGCACACATGTATGTATACATCTGCATATATAATTTTTAAATTGTTTTCAGCTCTTGACAAAATGAAAAGACCTTTGTATGATAAACACCCAATGGCGAAGTTTTCTTGGACGGTTACAGAAGAAAGGGATACGGTATTTAGTTTTTTATTTAAATTCTTCAAGCAATTTTATGTATGTTTTTTGGTAAAAAAGGTAGTTAATATTGTTTGTGCATATGCAAGCGGGGCTAGAAAAATTAATGCAACACCAGTTTTGGGATGACTTAGGTGTTGTGGTTGGCTATGGCAAAGAAGAGTGTCATAAAACGATCTAATCAAATATAAGTAGTGAGACACACAAGTGTAAGAACTTGTATAGGGATGACAAATGAGTTTCTTATCAGACTAGGGTTGTACCAAGGATCAACACTAAGCCCTTTCTTATTTATTTATAACTGTTATGGCGGGGTTAACTCGGTATATCCCAGATGGAGTCTCGTGGTGTATGTTGTTTGCTAGTGATTTTGTACTAGTGGACAGAAGTACAAAAGAGATGAACACTAAGTTGGAATTATGGTGACACTAGTGATTTTGAAATCACATGGATTGAAGATTTGGAAAATAGAAACGTTAATGACTATTTTGAAAGTAGGATTTTAGGAAACTATTAATCTATTGGGCAAATACAATAGTATATTTTTATGTTAAGGCGTTTCTACGAGTGGAATATAGGACTGTCTCTGAGGATACAAGGGTGAAAATGCGGCCTTTGAATGCCTTTAAAAGGACGGCATAGAAGAGCAGGGCGGCGGAAGAGGCTTTCCAGCTAACTAAGGCGCTTGAGAGAAAGACTCGAGATCTGGAGCATGTGAGATGTGTGACGGACACCATTGATAGGGTTTTGTTCCAAGCAGCTAAGGTGTACAGTCGGTGGGGGGAGTACTTCCATGGCCTTATGGGTGCGGGGGTGGAGAGACATGAGGCTATTAAATCAAAACTTTGGGTATTGTTGGCACATTAGTCAGGAGGAGGTGGCGAGCCTGCGAGATGTGAAGGGGGAGAGCCTTGAGGTCATATAAGATCCCAGTGGAGCCTTGGTTGGCTTGGTTACCAAGTTCTTTAATGTTTTATTAAGACGACAAAAATGCGAGACAAGTGGAGGGAGAGTGTGGTCAATCAACCTCCAGCAGAGGTGGATGGAAGCGTATTGGGCTAAGAAGAAGGATTTTCACATTATTGATCTCGAGAAGGTGTAAGACAGGGTGCCAAGGGAGATTTTGTTGAGGCGTGTTGGGTTTTGAGGGGTTCCAATTGCGTACATATATGTCGGGGAAAGGGCTAAGGTGAAGATTGGGGGGTGTGTCTGATCCTTTCCCTCTAGAGGTGGGGTTAGTCTACCCGTAGTACTCTTTTCCTATTTGCTCTACTGATGGATGTTATATCGCAGGGCTCCCAGAGGAGATCCCTTGGTGCATGTTTTTTGTTGATATTGTGATCATGTGATGATCGATGAGACATGCGAGGGGCTCAATGACAAGTTAGAGTTGTGGCATCACTCAAAATCCCAAGGCTTTAGACTATGTAGGACTAAGATAAAATACTTGAATGTTGCTTCATTGGTAGGGTGATGTTCACCGTATGGGAGCTGCTTGGGCAAAGTGGAAGTTGGCTTCAAGGGTTCTTTGCCACAAGAAGATTTTGGAAAGGATGAAAGAGAAGTTCTATGGGTCCGTTGTCGGACTCACTATGCAACAGAGATGTGTGGGTAGATAAGGTTGGATAGGATTTGGAACGAGGTTATACAAGGACGCGTGGGAGTAGTACATGTGGAGGATAAGGTACGTGAAGCTAGGTTGAGGTGGTTTGGGTAGTGAAGCGCTGAGGCAGATGGGAGAGGCTTATGGTAGTGGGTAAGGGCGGGGGAAGGAGCCCTTACCGAGGATATGTCCTTAGATAGGTTTATGATTAAGGTAGTCGGGTAATTGGTTAGGCCTTAGGTCATAGTTTCTGCTCTTGGCGTGTGTGCTTTCTTTGCTTGGTGTTTTTTTTGTCTCTTTGCGCTTTTCTTTAACCTTAGTTTGCTCTTTACTTATTGTGTTCATGTTTTGTGTGTTCTGTGTTACTCGAGCCGGGGTCTCTTGGAAACAGACCTTTTTAGTATTGAGTAGGGGTAAGGTTTGCATACACACACCGTCCCCAGACCCTACATTTATTGGGATTCTACTGGGTTGTTGTTGTAAACTAGGATGGTAGGACTTGTTGTAGTCCACAATATTTGTTCGTTTGTTTTGTCTCTTTAAGTAATCGATTTTTATAACCATATGTTGTATTTGTTTCTCTTTTTGTGGAATCTATGTCTTCGTATCTGTTTGAACCTGGAAAGCTTTCATCGTTGGTTATTAATGTATATTCCTTGTTGAAATATTTATAGGTAGAATGGTGTGATAGATGCCTAGATGTGTTAAACAATGTTGAGAATCTATCTCAAGAGAAGGACGCAGCCAACATCATACATAGTAAAGTTATGCAGGTATGTGTGCTTGTGCATGTCACCTTTGTGTCCTTCCATAAAAAAAGTTGTCGTCGAGCGGGACAAGTGTGTGTGACTTATGTATAATGTTTTAGGCTTAATCTGCGAACTCCCTTAGATGCATCATTTGTTGTCTTTTGTGATGCATAAATATGTGGAGTTCTGTATTGCATGAGGTGCATTTTCAAGTCTGACTCTGGCTCATTCAAGGGCAATCTGAAATTAGTTATCACTGAGTGCAGCTATACAGTAAATTCAACGTAAAAGCTACTTTGGCTCAGTTTAGAGTCTTCAAAAAGTTTTCTCCCCAAGAAAGTTAAGCTTTGAAATCTCCTGAAAAAGTTAAATTTTTTTCCTAAATCAGCCTAAAAAGTGCTTTTCAACTCTGTTTTAAACTGGCTACTTATTAGATGAGCGCCGAAATAAGATGTCCTAGAGCACTAAGCATTTTATTTAAAACTCACCAAATATCAGGTTATGTTGAAAAGTTCTTGCATTTTTTTTCTGAAGATCTTGAAAGGGAAAGGCAATGATATGCAGACTCTCTTTTATAAGGAGTTAAAATCTGGGAATTTAAGTGGGTTACATGCAGAATGTCTCACAGATACATGGGTTGGAAATTCCAGGTTCAGTTTCTGTATCTGTTTGTGGCCTGGTTGCTTGCATGCATGTCATACCTAACATATCTTATTTTTCTTAACTGTTTCCTCAATTCTTGATTGTTGTATATCAGATGGGCATTTATTGACTTGTCTGCCGGGCCCTTTTCATGGGGGCCTGCGGTTGGTGGAGAAGGTGTACGCACAGAACTAAGTTTACCAAGTGTGGAAAAAACCTTAGGTGCAGTTGCAGGTACTGCAGTGAAATGATTGTGTATTCATGTTTTTGCCTTTCAGCTTAACTAACAAGTCTGTGGGTTAAAGTTAGTGGAGATCTCATGAACAAGAGCATCATATTTTCTTTGTTTATTGCATACAGCTTGTTTGATCAGATCTCTCGCACCATCTCTGTATTTTTAAATCTCTACATTAGTTTCCATGTGGAAGAATCTTAACAAGGTCATGCTTCATTGACCATAATGTACACGTTGAATCACTGAGTTTACAATATCAAATTGTCATCAGGAAAAGGCTATATCAGCTATCCAGCTCATAGTCGTCTCATGTTATTTTCTATGTTTGTGTAAAATATTGTTATGATGGTTTTGAAATTTCTGTCATTATGTTTGTGAGACAAGGCTGGATGTGTGGGCAGACGAGGCTGGATAGGATTCCAAACGAGGTGATTCCAGGTCGGTTAGGCATGGTGTCAGGGGAAGATAAGCTGCAGGAAGCTAGGTTGAGGTGGTTCGGTCATGTGAGACAGCGGAATGTTGATGCTCTAGTGCGGAGATGCGAGAGACTTACGTTGGTAGGGGGTTGGTAGGGGGAAGTAGGGGACGAGGTAGACCTAGAAAGAGTTGGAAGGAGGTGATTAGACAGGACTTAGGACTTCTTTCCCTTACTGAGGATATGACCTTAGATAGGAGCGTTTGGAGAGCTAAGGATCAGAGTTGCTGGATAGGTGCCTTGGGCTAGGGGCTGGTGTTCTTGTTCTGTGCTCTGTATGCCTTATTTGCTTGGTGCTATTTGCATTATTAGTCTGATTTCCTTTCTAATAAAAAAGACTTCTAAATTAGTACCTATTTTTAAAACTTCTATATCAAAGTTGCAACTTCCTCTACTTTCATTGTTGTTTTAAAGGGTGACCTTTATGTCTTAGAATATTCCTATAGCTTAAAAATGTTTCTAAAATAATAAAATGTCACAACATTCTGGATCCTTTGTAATTGGTTATTCACACAAGGTTTTCTTCTAAATGTTTCCTATGCCTAAGTTATAGCTTTTCTACTTTGGTTTATGAGAATGTTATTTCATTAAGTGATGGCTATTGCTGTATTAAAGGGTGACCTTGAAATTGTTTTCGACCAAAAAAATGAAGTTGCAGCTTTTCTACATTCCTTTTATTAATGCATTCTACGTGGACCTTTGTCTTTGTCCATCTCGTACATATTTCAATTGCACCTATTTCTTCTTCTTGCTAAAAATAATTCAATTGCTTCAGAAATTTCTGAGGAAGAAGCAGAAGATATATTGCAAGAAGCCATACAAGAGAAGTTTGCAGTATTTGGTGATGTATGTTCTGGACCAATCTAGTTTTGCTTGGTTTGTTTAGTGTCCAGTTTATTTCAAAGCAGCAGCTGTTAAGATTTGCAAGTAAAGCTGCTCCTATATGATTTGCTCCTTTTATTGGATTTCTTATTGAGGGGTAAGAAATTTAGGATAAATGTTGATATTAATGTTTCCATTATTTCCATAACTTGAAATGCAGATGCAGAAAGAGCATCAAGCCATTGATATCCTTCTTGCAGAAATTGATATATATGAGCTTTTTGCTTTCAAACATTGCAAGGGTAGGAGGGTTAAGCTCGCTCTGTGTGAAGGTAACTTGTTATCCTAAGTACTCCTATTTCCCTCCATCCCAATTTGTTGTACCCATTTGAACCGGGCACAAAGATTAAGAAAGTGAAAATTGTGAGGTTGAGATTCGTACAAGGGAGAGAAAAATTATGAATCATATAATGTATTCTACTAACAGAAACATACACAATAAATTGGAACGGACCAATAAGGAAAGCAGCCACAACAAATTGGGAAGGAGGGAGCATCACTTTCACTTCTGCATGTATACTTGTTTTCCTGCCAATTTCCCTATAACTTATATACTGCATAATTCATGATGCATGAGAACTGCACTGCTCTTTTCTGGCCTACTTTTTCCCTATCAGATATCTTCATGTTTGGATGAGTATATCACTCTATTGACCATTTCACTCTATTGACCATTTCAGATATCTTCTTGATTGCTTCGCTTAGCATAAAACTGATTTAATTGTTTTCAGTTTTTCATGCTATTAGGTTTGCATAAATTGTTCTCTTCAAAACTTCTTATGTGAAAAATCCATTTTAAGTGTTTTCTATATTCCTTATTCCATACCAAAAAGCATCACCAACACCTTATTTTCAACTATGTTGGGATGGATGGCAGTCATGGCATGGCATTTAGCACCAAACTGTGAATTGAGTTTCTAAACTTATTTAGCACTATAAAGTACCTGAGCTGTGAATTCCAAACTCATCGCTGGAAAAAGGCCTTCCTTTTCCCACAAGTTTTTTTACATGAGCTGATTTGTTTTGGAATTCTGATGCCAGAGCTTGATGAGAGAATGCGAGATTTGAAAAACGAACTCCAGTCTTTTGATGGCGAGGAGTATGATGAAAACCATAAAGTGAAGGCTTTGGATGCATTAAAAAGGATGGAGAATTGGAATTTGTTCAGTGATAATCAAGAGGTGTGTTATTGGCTTCTATATATTTGCTCTTCATTGCCCATGATTTCTTGCTCACTGAAGTAATCCTTATCTAATGTCTCGCGAGCTTTTTAAAATTGTGATAGTGCTTGCAATGTGACCTTATTTGTGTTGGAAAATTGTCATTTAAAAGAAGCTAATTATGAGGAATAACTTATAGCAATGGATTTGATGCTGCAGGATTTTCAAAATTATACTGTTGCACGTGATACTTTTCTTGCACATTTGGGTGCAACTTTGTGGGGTTCAATGAGACACATCATATCACCTTCACTTGCAGATGGTGCCTTTCACTACTATGAGAAACTGTCTTTCCAGTTGTTTTTTATCACACAGGAGGTACAAATTTCCTTGTACTGTGAAATTGATATAATTTCTTATGACTCATGTATCTACAAATTTGTTCTGCAGAAAGTGAGAAACATTAAACTGCTGCCTGTTGACCTCAAATCTATTACAGAAGGACTTTCAATGCTAAAAATGCCTTCTCAGAAAGTTATGTTCAGCCAACATATGTATGTCTTGACTCTTTCTTTTTCTCTTTAATTTTCCCTATGGCTTTACACTTGACAACTATATAGATGTTTGCCCTAATTTCTTTGTCTCCACCATTTCTGCCAAGTACCTGACCTTTTTCTCCATTCAGATTGATGTTGAATTCCTATATTTCCTCCCCAACCACTATTAAAATAAGCAATTCCACAACTCTAAAAATATGAAAAGGAGAGAATGTGTG